TCAGATTCGCATGGCCCTAACTCTCCAGATGCTTCCTCCTCCCTTATCTTTCCCTCTCACTGCTTTTGAAGCATTTCTAGATCAAAGTGGCAGCTGCTCTCCTGGGGGATAATCCTGTTGCCTGTAACCTTGTTTTCTGAGTGTCCTTCACAAGGAAGGGTTTCAGCGAAAACTTTCTCCCTCAGCCCAATCACACCATTTTTTTTTTTACTTCAGCCTTCACCAGTCCTCAGGATAGAAAGGAAAATGCCTTCTCCCTTCAGAAGCATCTTTATGCCTTCAGAAGCATCTTTATGCCGAGAAGCTGCCTAGAATGAGCTAGCCAAATCTCAAAAAGTGTTATGAGATGCTACTTCCACATCCTTGTCTTAATTTCTGCTTCCATTCTTTCCTCCTCAATGCCACCTCCCTTTCCCTTCCTAGGGACTGGCTCTCTTTACATTTGCCCTTCCTAGGGTCACGTGTATCTCCGCCTACCCCAAGGGAATTCTCTTCTTCCAGGTAAGAAAGAACTTACAAGATTCTAAGACCCAAACACAATCAGCAAGTAGAGAACTGAACCTAACATGCTTTCAGTCACCCAAGGGAAGCAGAGGCCCAGGGGATTCAGAGGATTAAAGATAACAAGATAAAGCCTAGTGTAGAAGTAGCCAAGTATGGGGGCCCTGGCCTTGAGCTGCCTCAGGGGTGTTGCATCTCTGAGAAGAGTGTAAGTTTCCTGGTTGATATTATTGTTAGAGGTCTTTTGACGGGTCATCCACATTCCTCTCAGGGAAAGTGCCAGTTGCTTTGAACATATCCCGTTTCCTACTGAAGAATAACAGGGAAGAACTGTTATTTCCATGGATTTAGAGGAAATCTAAATCTAAATCTAAATCCCTCCACTAACTGACAGGGGGAAAAGGAACTTCAAAGTTTTTAGTTTCTTTACTGACTACTTTGACTTTTCTTTTGCTAGTCTTTCCTGCAGAGAAAGACTGAGAGTAATCTGAAGGGAAGCATTTCTTTCTCACCCTCCTGATATTGCTTTTGGAGCTTTTGGGCTCCGAGAGTGGAGTCCTTGGGTTCACTCTGGGAAAGGTTTCACCAGAACTCCCCTTTCACCAGCAGCTATGAGTTTCTGAGGTGAGTTTCTCCATGACTCAGGGCTATTAGTTATATCTCAGAGGGCAGGTTTATTGTAAAAGGGGAGAAGGGCACTTGCATAGGCAGAAGTGGGCAGGAAGAGCTGCCCCAAAAGGGACAGGTTTGCTGAGAGGCCTGCATGGTCGCAGGCAGGCGGCCTTAAGAAGCTGCTTCTGCTGAGGGAGGTCAGTGAGGAGAAGCCCGGCAGGTGCAGGTCACAGGCGGGCAGGAGGCTGCTGCCCTGCAGAGGGACAGAGTTGGCAACAAGGAACATCTGTATTGGCACAGGTGGGCAGAGGGACTGGGGCCTCATTGGGGGGCTGGTTAGGTTTTGTCATCTTCTTTCAGTAGGGAGGGGCTCATCTTTGTGGGTGAAAGCTTTGTTCCTTAATCTCCATATCTTCACCTTGAGTTCTGCTCCTGACACTCCCCACAGCATCCTATATAGTTTCTATAGCTATATTAATACCCCCACCTCCTTGTCAGAGTCTTGTGATGCCTCCTTAAAATTTTCTATTCTTTTCCTCCTTCAAGTAGATCAGGTATAGGCAGCTCCCTGCCGGCTCTCAGCGTGGGCTGTTTCTGTAAGCCAAATGGTGAACTGTGTCTAAAGATCATTGCCAGAGGAGGAGGGGCTTGGGAGGAGGTGCAGACAAATGGAAGGAAGAAAAGGAAAAGAAATTCTGGCACAGGAAGCAACACACACAGTTCTTTCTCCCCACACTTTATCAAATCTTTTCTTGTTTTTTGTTTTCCTGTTTTCCACCCATATTGTTAACCTACTAATTTAATGCCTCCTGATTGAGACCCACTAGCAGTTCTCATGGTTTTAGTGAGAATTAAGGATATTACTAATAATTGTTACCCAATGAAACCTACCAAATTACCTAATCCTCTCATGGGCAAATGCCAACCCAAACAGGGTCAGCCTAAAGCAGAGCTGCTGAGGCCCAAAAGCTTGCCACAAGTCTGAGGCACCTTCTGGGAAGGAACCACAGAAATGGCTTAGGCGGATTCGGGAGAGCTGGGATAGGGGACTAAGGATTCAAAATCAAAGTACAAATCAAGGAAATGCTGCCATTGTTTCTCTGCCAAGGACAAGGAGGACCCTCCCCCATGATTCACCCATGTGTCTCTTCTGAGTACCTCTTCCAAGTGTCTTACATGTCTTTTCTCCACATGTCCCCTTCAAGTCCTTAGGTACAAGTCAATCCCAGAGGAAGAGAGCCGGGCCACCTGTCTTCCATGTTATAAGTTCACCTGGCTGCTCAGCTCCACCCCCAGTTTGCAGTAGCTCCCCTCCCAAGGAACTCCAGCTCATAGCATACTGGGACTTGCAATTTAAGGTGACTGTGTTACAGGGCACCCCAAGGTGAATTGGGGTGCTTATCTGTGGGTCCTCACCCACGTACTTAAGATTCACTCGTACTGTGGACACACAAAAAAGTTCAATAATGGGTTTATTTACAAGGGGAAAGGTAAAGGAACAACCCAGGAACTGGTAGAATGTCCTACCAGTTCTGCTGACTTGGACTCCACCAGCACGCAGAAAAACGATCTAGAACCAACCGATCAGCTGCGAACCACCAGGCCGAGAGAGCCCGGGAGCCCACATGTCCGGTTTTATCCCAACCTGGCTGCTCAGCTGCACCCTCATGTCCCAGCGTGCTTCTCCTTGGCATTGATGGGATTTGTAGTTCCAGTATCTGGTTTGGGGGCGGAGTCCATAAAACCTGTACCTGTTACAGCTGCATGGAAGTGGGAGTGAGGAAAATGATGTCTCTCCTTCCCAAGGTGTATCTGTAACAGGAGTAAGGATAGCCTATTCCCTGCTTCACCCTGGTCTTGTCCAGTTGATGTTTTTGGAGTCAGTAGGTTGAGCACGGGGTCCTTGGGTTAACTCTGGGAAAGGTTTCTCCTAGAACTCTTCTTTCAGCAGCACACTGTGAGATTCTCCACGACACAGACATATTAGTTATATTTAAAGAACAAGTTTATGACTAGGGAAAGGGACAGAAGAGTAAAAGACACTTGTATAGACACACACAAGTGGATAGGAAAAGCTGCTCTGAAAGGGACAGGTTTGTTAAGAAACAGGCCTGCATGGGTGCAGGTGGGCGTCCTTGAGGAGACCGGCCTCTGTTAAGGGAGGTCAGTAATGAGAAGCCCTGGTACTGTACAAGTCACGGGCAGGTAGGAGGCTGCTGCCCTGTGGTGGGGGAATTGGTGGGAAAAAGCACCTGCATAGTCACAGGTGGGAAGGAGGCTGTTTCCCTGCAGCGGGAGAGAGAGTTGGCAAAAAGGAGCATCTGTGTAGTCATAGGTGGGCAGAAAGACTGCAACCCCTCTGTGGGGACAGTGCTGGCTTTTATCATCATCTTTTGGTAGGGAGGGCATCAATTTCTTGAGTGGATGGTTTGTTCCTTAATCCCCGTATCTTCACCGTTGGGTGACACCCCCTGAGACCGTTTGCTACCTGGCTGGGTATTGTGCCTCCTGATCTGGGCATTGAAGCCTCAGGGTCTTGGTTTTCATAACGTGATTAATGGCTTACACTAATCCCTTTACCCTACCTCCTTGTGTGCAAAGGTTCCTGACCTTGTTGCCTTTATTGTCCCATCCTCCATACAGTGGGCATGAGGCCCCCATTTCTCAGACTAGTATACACCAGGATCTGCTAGTTAAACACAGATCACAAACCCCACTTCAAGTATATGATTCAATAGATCTGGGATGGGGCCTGCCTGAAAGAGTCTGTGTTTTCAGTCAGCTCCTCATGATGGATGCTGCTCACCCAGGGTCCCTACACTAGAACCACTGGTATGCATATCTGAAACAATGCCAATCTTGAGTCATTTCCACAGTGGCCACCCACAAGCTATTCTGGCAAAGGTAAGTTGCTTTGACCCAGCATGAACATATAGGAACCTCACTCTGTCCCTGTCAGCTGCCTCAGAAATGGAAGCCAGGCTTTCAGCAGAAAAGGGCACCCAGTAACACCTGGATGATGCCATTCATGAAATTCACTCTGGATGTCATATTTTCTTGTTCCAAAGCTCACTCTAACGCTCACACCTACAAGTTTATAGATAGGTATGTAAGGTGAATATAGGTGTTCACCTTAGTTTGAATATTACTCACACCTACAAGTTTATAGATAGGTATGTAAGGTGAATATAGGTGTTCACCTTAGTTTGAATATTACTCACACCTACAAGTTTATAGATAGGTATGTAAGGTGAATATAGGTGTTCACCTTAATTTGAATATTACTCTGTCATGGCTATTGTTAGAGTTTTACCATTTCACACTGTTAAAAGAACAAAATTCACCAGATAAAACTTCAAAGATCTAAGTGACTCTATTAAAGGATTCAAGCACAGGGCTGCATGTCATGCCACAAGCAGAAAGGAGCGCCAAAGGTTTGTACAGACTGGAAGGCTTCTAGGCGGAAGTGGGGGGAGGCCACATCGAAAATGAGAATTGTTTGGGCAAGGCCACTACAAGTGGGGAGGGACTTGCCAGGCGATTACCTCACTAGTGCTGACCAAGTAGCTCCTGACTGACTGGGATTGGGATTTCCGGAAGGGGCTCAAACTGCAATTGTGAGCTATCAAGTTAGTCTTGGTTTGGTTTGGTGGCATGGCGTTAACACAAGCGACTCCAGTGTGGACCTGCTGTTTCTTGTTTAATACCATTTGCTAGAACACAGAACACAGAATGCGCAGTCTCCACCAGAGCAGTACCAGAAACGCCTGCTGATTTGATTAGACAGTCCCCACCCCTAGGAGTCCGGGATTGTTGAGGAAGCGCTGCAGCCTGACTCACTGTCGTTTCTCTCTCTTCTCTCCCCTCCACCCCCTTCCTGTCCCCAGTGCATTCCCAGAAACAGAACAGACAGACGTGTGTCCGGAAGAGCCTCATCTGCGCCTTCGCCATGGCCTTCATCATAAGCGTCATGCTGATTGCGGCCAATCAGATCCTCCGGAGCGGCATGGAGTAGCAGCCTCGTGCCACCGCGCTGCTTCCCAGCTCATTGCGCATGTGCATGCCCTGCGGGCAGACTCTTCCTCCACAAACGCAGATAAGGATGATGCAGACCTGGCACAGTTCAGTGAAGAACCCTCGGTTGCAGTGCAACCGGTGTTGCAAATCAACTTTATCTCCTTGGCAGGGACACAAAAGGGCTGTCTTAAATGCTTTACTGGTTTTGTTTCCTAATGCAATAAATAGCCAGGCGTTCTGAAGGATCGCTTCAACCACCTGTAGTAACTCCGAAGGGAAACTTCATTTTCATCTCGGAATTCCAGTGACCATACAGGTTGGTGGTGTGAGAGAACTGGAGAGAGACGTGAACACGCAGGCACCTCCGTGCCCCAGTCTTTCAACCCCAGGGTCAGCTGGAGAAGCCACCCCCTGAGGCAACCCTCAGTCCCAAGAGGTTGACTTCTGTGTTACTACCGAAGAGGGAAGAGGGGGCTTTCCATCTCGCCTGGCTTCCTTCCTCCACCCAGTGGAGACCACCCCCAAGGCATGAGGGGAGAGCCATCGAATGGGGTGCAGCGCCTGGTGTTCTGCAAGTCTCACCCCTTCGCTTCCGTTCTGCCTTTCCCCAGGACTCTTGGCAGGGTTGGGGAGCTCTCACTTTCTGTCAGCACCTGGCTTTCTGTTCCTAGAGCCCACGCGCACCAGCATTTTGAAATCTGCAGAGGGCCTCCTCCCAGCTTTGCCGCCTGTGCTGCCATTAGAGGACAAAGCAGCATCCTCGTGGGCATCTCTGTAACACAGATGCGTGGACAGACACGTGCATCCCGCCTCTTCGCTTCTTCGTGTGAGACTCATTCTTCCCTGGTCGCTCGCTCGCTCGCTCGCTCCCATTATCTAGGCTTCCTCCTCTGACATGCAGCCCTGGCCTTCTTGGGGCAGGCTGTTTGTCTGGGGAGCAGTGAGGAACTGAGACTGGCGATGAGGAGCTGTTGCCTCCCACCAGTCGTCAGGAAGAAAGGCACCCACATCTCCATGCTAGAGACCTCTGTAAGTTAAGGTCTTCATGCACCTTACCGTTTTCTCATCTTAAAGTCGCTTTGTTAGTCTTCCCCAGCTAAAAAGAGAAATATAATCCAAAGCAGAAAGATGGAAAGATCGTGCTGTGGTATCAAACAAAACATCTTTTGGCATTCAGAGTCTGCCACTGATTCGTTTTCAGGAGAAAACAAACGTTGATAAGCTTTGCCAACGCACCAGGTAATTTGCTCCTGCCTGTACAATACTTTGGTTGGGGAAGAGAACTGAATCCAGTGATCCATTTTCAACACCGCTTGAAGTCTGTAATTCCCTGCCTTCACCCTCATGCCTCTCAGTCACCACTGTTCAGTCAAGCTTGCATAGTCCGATTAGCCAGTAATCTTATAGATGTAATATTGCCCTTTGTACTTTTCCAAGCTCAGGTCTTTATTTCTGTAATGGAATTGTCCTGATTCTCTTTCTCCAGATTGCACCCTAAAGCTCTATGCTTTCTCCCTGCTGCCCTCCCGCCCTCCCTGTGTTGGGCACCAGAACCTTCCCTCACTCCATGCAGCCAGCAGGTAGGGTTTGCATGCAGTATGTATCCCCAGAGCCCTTCTCAAGCTCGCCCCACCCAACCACCTCCCCGTCCTCCCGCTGCCTTCATAGACTTGGAGCATCCAAGGTCTCGGTTTCGGGTCTTCTTCCAGTTCATGTCTCCAAACTCTTCCAGCTATAGTCTGGGGGCAGCTGTAGAAACTTCCCCACTGGGGGAGATCAGAATATTCCTGATGAGCACAAGTAAAACTAGGGTTTGAGCCATAGTATGAAGATGCGGGCAGGTGGGAGCCCAGGGGGTTGAGCGTCCCTCTGAACACTCCTGGGTCCCAAGGTCCAAGCCAAGGAAGGCAGCAGCCCGCAAATCTGCCTCTCTCCTCCTCCTTCTGCCTGACTCCGCCATCCCTCGGGACTGGAATCCTGAACTAGAACAGGACCCGACACAGAGTAGTGACACTTCTGGGAACTTGATCCTCACTCTGCCCAAAGCAGTGTGCCCCCCTCATCTCAACTGGACTGGAGTAGAAGGACACCTGAACTTGCTCCTGGAGAGGCGTGTGCAGAACCCAAAGCAGGCTGGACAGAGCACCCCGAAGGATTCTCAGAGAAGCCTGCCTCATGAGAGAGTTGGACTCCAGGACCACAATGTGAGCCTGTCTTTCTGCAAGTTCTTCTGACTTCCAAGGGAGAAATGAGGCCCAGATGGATGGGGCATTAGTCTTCACCAGAAGAGAGATTAGCCACTGTGAAGGGTGGAGCGTAGGAGGCGTTCCAGAGAGACCCCAATAGCCTGTTCCTACAGAGTCCTAGCATTGTCTCCCTAAACAGGACCTTTTCCTCTCGCCTGGTGATGGGGCAGCAAGCCCAACCCCAGGAGCAGATCTAGGAGACTGCATCCCTGTGGGGATAGCTTGAGGAAAAAGGGTGAGAAGAAAGCCACAGAAAGAAACCTCTGCTGGGCCGGAAGCTGAACTGCTACCGTGGTAATATCACAGGTGTTACCCAAGGACTGAAGGCTGCAGAGACAGCCCAAAACTGATGCTGCTCACATCTGGAAGGCTGACAGCTTGTCCTCACGAGACATGCCTGGCTGCTTTACCTGCACAGTCTGACGAAGATGGTGGCCTTCTTTGTTAGGTGGCTTAAGAGTTGACTTCCCCCGCCTCCCAATCCTGTCTTCACCAGTGCTGGCCAGGGCCTACACCAGCAGCACCCTCCCCAGGGTTGTGACTCACTCGGATGAAGACTCCAGGGTGTCCTGGTCCTCCGTGCCCCAAGCTGTGCTGTGTGGCCCCGGCTGGAGGTGACCTCTGCAGAACAGGGAGGGGGGAGCCTAAGTCCCAGCTAACAGACTCAGGAGTCTATTATAGGGTGACTGGGTGATTGGCAAACTTGGCTTGGCTCATTCTTGCTGCAAGAATGGGTGAAGACCACACAAGTGATGATCAGGGAGGCATCTTGCTTGGGAGATCAAGGGAAGCTGACTCTGATTCCCTTGGCTCCCAAAGAAGCTGGTGCCCATCACTCCAGAAGCAGGCAGAGCCCCCAAACAGAACCCAGCATGGGAACTGTTAGCAGTGGCTTCCAGAATGTGCGTGGGTCCCACGTGACCAATCTGTAAAAAGAGGGATATTGCCATGGCAACCCTTGCATTCCACCCCGAGTTTGCCAAGGCACACAAAAATAGGGAACATTTTCTTAAAGAACACTTGGGCTCTGCCTGATTGCAGCCTGACTCCCGCATCCATATCCCGCTAGAGGGGGAAATTACCCTCCAAGAATCTGGTAGATTCTTGGCCTTTTCCTCTTGTGTTTGAACTTGTCCTTCCATTTCCCCAGGAGAACAGAAGCTACCTGTGAGCTGGATAGCTGACCCCTCCACCCCCACACCTCTTCTCTCCCCACCCCTGGGGCCCAGAGCCAAGGCCCCTTAATCTGGGCTAAAAGGCAGAAATATCATCTGGAAGGCAGAAAATATTTTAAGCCTCAATCTTTAAAAGCATCTGCTTGCCTGTTGAGAAGCTCTCCCACAAGCCAGAAATGTGAACTGAAGTGAACTGAAATTTACAGTGGTCTTAGGCAAGCCTCGTGGCTTCAGAAGTTTCTAGGCATTTTATTTGCCGAGAGCAAGAAATATAGTACGAGTCTTCTTTCGTAATACCTGCTCCTGTCTTGGATTTCATATGACAGATGGTCTACTATCTTGTGGTTAGCCAAAAGCATCTAGTAGGAGAGATGGGAAGCTCATTTTGACAATAATTCCCTCCCACCTCCCATCCACAGAATCAAAAAGTGATGGCTCTAAGAACTGGGAGAGAGATTTATCTTTTATTCCAAATACCTTCTTTAGGCTTAAGTCCAGAACCAGGTCATAAATCAAAGAGAGTTTTGCTTTTAACCTTTAGCTAGCCACGTCCCTGGACCATAGGAGGGCAAGACCAAAAGATGAAAGACATGAACTTGCCCACAGTTCCTTGGGTTGAGTTGGACTGGTCAGGGGTGGCTGCAGGCTGGGAAACAGTGTTTCTGCTCCACCCTTACACTCCATCGCCTGGAAGCTGCTGAGCTCTACTCTTCCCAGCTGGGAGGTCCAACCACATTGGGTTGGTTGACTGCACTTTTTCTCTGCAGACCTGTAGTGATAGTGTTATTCACCTGTCCCACTGACACAGAGTGGGAATGTGGAACCCTGCTGCTAGGTGGGGTCTGCCCATTTACTATAATGTGGGATGATACACATGGCCCAAGCCTACATGTCCAGACATGGGCACAACTGGCTGCATTACCAGTAGGACTGCAGAGCTACCTCCCCTAGAAAATGCCCGTCTGAAAGGACTTCCTTTCAGAACTTTCTCCCTGGTCTCTCCAGTAACCCGCCCAGGGCTAACAGTCTGCAACCTGGAGGCCCTGTTGTAACCATCCTCCCTTACCACCTCATTGCTCCACTCTCCCAGGCAGGAAAGTAGTCTATCAGAAATAGAAGAGAAACATTATTCAGCAGTTAGGGTTTTCAACTTGAATTATTTCAAGCAATGGCAAGAGAGAAGAGGATTTGAACTGCCTCTTACAGACCCTGTCTCCATGACAATTTAAATGTCAGAACTGTTCAGTGTCACTTCATACTTCCGTGGCTAAGTCACTCAAGGGACCATTCTTGGTCTTGTGGCTTTGCCATAGATACTTGGTTTGGAGGAATAAGGCCAAGCACACATGGCAGCCCAACATTTCTCTTAGTATCCCATGCTTGTTACTGCTGCATCCAGTCATTGTGACAGCTATGGTTTCTACTTAATATTGGTTCGGGGCCCTCTTCGTATGGCCTCCAAGGACATGCTGCCAGTGCTCCAGAAGTCTTCAAGGTAGAGTACATTTGATCAGTTGACTTGAAATATAGCCGCCATGAGTCAGGTTTTGCTATTCCCTTAACGACTCCTTCGGAATCTGGACAAGATTTGCCACCTTTCTGCCCCCAGGTCCTACGTTGAGTACTCTGCAAGGTAAGCCCATGTACTCCCCTGCTGGGGGTAGCCCTCACCTACCTTTTAGCCTTGAGTATGATAAGTCGACTTGCAAACCAGTGCTGCTCACACAGCTAGAAGGTATCGTCCAAGACACCAAGACAGGGAGGCTGAGACTGGAATTTTCCAGTGGAGTAGAAAAGCAGGCTGAGGAGGAAGGAATATTCCAAGGATATTCAAGTGTGAGGCTGCTCCATCTCCAGACCTGAAAGGGAAAAAGAAAGCTCTTACAGGGCTGTAGAAGCTGGTCTCTGAGAACATTCCCGTGTATGTGGCCTACTTTGGGAACAGAGAGGGGCTCGAGTGCCAGCTGCCTGCCCCCATGACACGCACCACCAACTTCAAGAGGAAACCAGTTGCTCATGTTTCCTTGGGGGAAGCTGACAACTGTCAAGGCCGAAGTGCTTCTCCTGGGCGGTCTGAGTTCAGACCTGTAGAACTGACACCAGGAGAACAGAATTCAGATTCAGAAGTGCGGGCAACACCATCTATAGGACGGACACAAGTGGCGGGACTGCAGGTACCCCCGTCCCCAACAGCCAGATAACCTCATGGGTCTCCCCTTCCTGGCTTGGAGTCCTCATCTTTACAGACCAAGGGAAGGTAGACGAGATGACCCAGAAGAGCCCACGCATGCTGTGACTCAGTTCCTCTGAAACAAGTCAGAACGAAAGCCCGCCCTTGAGAGGCCCGATTCCCCATGGGTTGTCTTGGGGACTGGCAGTTTCCTTTCTAACCCAAGTCCCAAGAGGCAGTGGCCACTGTCTGTAGACAAAACCTTGCATAGACAAAACCTTGCACACTGGCTTATGTGTGGTGCCTTGCTGGCCACAGGCTTTGTTTACTCCCTGAGTTTGCTGATTCGAGGGAGCTTCACAGATGGGTGTGGTGTCCTGTCCTGGTCCATTTGAAAACTAAGGGGGTTTGCTCCCCTTCCCATGGGTCACGTGCACCAGAAGTCACATCTAAGTGGGGCAAAAGAAGCAAAGCCAGTTCTGAGCCAAGAGGCTTGTTTCTCCATCTGAGAAAGCAAACTGGAAACTACTGAATAAAGAGCACAACAACTTCACATTGTTTCGTTTTCTTCTTTCTTTCCTCCCTGGCGTGGGAACGGCAGTTCCTGTGCATGATAGTGGTTTGTGATTATTCGTAACACAGCAGAAGGGCTGAGAGTCACGTTCTTTGCTGATTGTCAGGAATTAGACGAGCAGTCCAGGACCCCAGCCGCTGTGATGTGCTTACATGACCTGAGCTCAGAGCCTGCTTTAGATTCGATCCAAGCACGACCAGAGAGGGAAGGCAGGGTGCAGCCGCAGCTGGAGTACACGAGTCTCCAGCCTTCCTGCCCGTGACAATGTCAAACCCTCTGCTTCTGTCCTTTCACTCTTTCTGAACTACATTGAGATCCCGGTTGCTATTTGGATAGAAGCCCTACTGTTCTTCCCTAGAAAGGCCTAGATTGGCCAGGAGGGGGCCCTCTCACCTCCTGGTGCAAATCCGCACAAGCCTGTCCCTGTCAGTCTCCCAAGGAAAATCAAAGAATATGCTTTCTCTCTGACCTGGTCAATAGTTTGTTTGCGGTCCTTAAAAGGTTTCTTAGCAGGACTTAATTTTCTTCCCCAGTTCTGAATCCAGGAAGATTCATGGGTCTGGGAGCCTGGGGGAGGATGGAGGGGTTGACCCCACCTCTGCTTCTCCAAGGACTAGTCAAGGGCAGAACCCTTGTAGAGAAACTAACCGAGGATGTCTAGTTAGGAAACTGTCACCCACCGGGGGTGGGGGCACTGTCATCTTGGGGGTCTTTGAACTGGAGATGTTAGTTGTTTCTCAAAGCACAAGGTGAAGGGCTGGACACACGGAGCACAGCTGAGGACTGTGGGCTGGGGTGACAGGAGCACGGCCGCTGTCATCTCCAGCGTGGACCGTGATAGTCCTGGGTCCCGACCTTCCCATTTACCTCATTTACGCTCCATCTTTTTCATTCAGTATTAATTGATGAGAGAGTCAGCAGACTAGTCAAAAGAAAATCTTTATATAAAATGTAAATATTAATATAAATTAACTTGGCATGCTACTTATTGATCCAATGAAGTATATATTATTAATATGTTATCTTAGTGTATAAAGGAACACTGACTGCCATATTTACCAGATGTTTTCTCTAACCAAACTTGTCTGTAAATATATAATCTGTATAAAAAGAGTCTAATTTACCATTATTTATGCAATAGAAAAAAAATAAAAGTTCTTTTTCTTTCTTTTGATGAAGAGATTTCAGTTCATTATCTGTGGTGTGATTTGCAAATGAGTCATGAAATCATTGCTGTGACCCTGGAGGGCAGCCAGCACTGCTTAGAGGACAGTCCAGCATCAAGCAGCCCTCAAGAAAGCAACTGGGGACCGGGGTGGTGTGATGGGACTTTGGAGGGGAATGATTGACAGAAGGGAAAACAAGCTGACTGTGGAGCATATGGTGAGAAATATGAAACATCTTCAGGCTGGGGAGCAGACATTATAATTAAGAAAACTTTGCAGACACCCCAGCTAATGGTATCATCCTTTTGGGATTCTATTTGCCAAATTCTTCCCAACATTAGCATTCAAGTATTGCATAGCTTTCACTTCAGCTCTTGGAATTCTTGGTGTCATCTGAGCTTCCTGAGCATTGAAAAACCACCCCTTCCCTCATGTAAGTAAGGAAGCAAAGGGACCAGAAACTCAGGTGGCTTGGGAAAGATTCTAATACTGTCCTGCCGGGGTCTGGACTAGAACTCTGGTCTCCTGCTGCCAAACACTAGAACAGCATCTTGTATTTTCTTCATTTTCCAAAATACTGTCATGTAGCTTCCCCGATGTCTTGAACTTAAGCCATAAGACTGAGTTTCACTAGGCAGGGTCTCCTCCAGCCTTAAGTACTCTATTTTATATACCTTCTCAGGGGAACTTAGTTGAAATCACTAAGCATTTTTTTTTTTAAGTTAAAAGAGTGTTGTAGGCATAAAGCAGGTGCTTTTCACTGTCAAAGGAGTCCTCCAACAAATTCCAGGGGGCTAAGGATTGGACTTGGTCCTCTCTAATCTGGATTTTAAAGTGTTTTTTTCTTTTTAATGGCTATAATGGAAGATCTAATCATGAATATTCATTTTCTTGGGGTACTGACCCCAACAGGGAGTGTCCTGCAGGGCAAAAGGCCCACCAGAGACACACAGAACTCAAGGTCTCTGGCCCTGAGGACAGAGATCACTGGCCAAGCGAGTCTGAGGACTTCTCCCTAACACTGACCCAAGTCACAGCCTCCAGAATTCTCTCTTGGATGTGTGTGTCCTTCAGACTTATTGGAACTTCCCTATTATGTTGGTGATAAGGGGCTTCCAAAGGCTTATTTTTCAGATGTTTGTGGTCTAACCATGAGCACAATTAGAGTTGTGCAGTGTTTTTCTTGCCAATTCTGGAAGGTCTACCTGTATCAAGAAGCTTGGTCTTGAAATGGCAAAGGATTGCTGGGAGTTGTAGCTACACTCCAGGGGAAATCACTAAGTGTCCCAGATGCTAAGATGTCAACCTTGGGTCCCGCTCCAGTTCCAAAGCTCAGTGAGCCTGTGGTCAGCTCATGGCCAGAAGGAACATCTCATTTGGGTGGTCTTGGGCAACTGTGAGCAAAGGGTTAATAAGAATTGCAGGCTTTTCCCTGCCAGCTCCACATCAGCAGGCCTAGGTCACCTTGCCCACTAGCTTCTTGCCATAAATAAAATCTCGATGAGACCAGAATCCGGTACATGACAAACGTTCATGTTTCCCCCGAAAGTATGTTTTTCGCACACCTCCCTGATGGAGATAAGGAATGATTGAGGACCCGGTTCCCAGGAACAGAGACCATGGTTACCAGTCCCGTGACTAAGCTACCGAGCGACTTGGTCACCTTGTACACTGGCTTCTTGCCCATAAATAAAACCTATGCTCCTCTCTTCTGAATATGCTGGCGCTTCCTCCTGTGACCCCCCACAGGCAGTCCTTTCCCCCAGGGCTGGCCAGGTCAGGAGCAGGGCCTGGGTCAGCCTTCAGCAGTGCTCCAGGCTTCTGTCTTAGAAAGGCACTTTGGAAGGATGGGTGGGCTCCAGTTGTCCCCCATAGGTATCCCCCATCTCTCCTAAGCACAGGGGTTGAGACTCGAGGGTTGCGGCCTCTGCTTTCCTTCCAGGGAGGTGTTAGCTTATAAGCTGCAGGCTCCAGGCAGCCTCCCTCCTGTCTTCCAGAAGCAAGGCTGTGGCTGCAAGGCAGTCAGGGGAAGCAAAGGAGTGGAAGTGGGGTACGCAGAAAAAGTGGCACTCCCTCCTTCCCCTGAAATTCATCTGGAAGACAGCAGAGTACACTGAGCACAAATAAAGAGGAAATTGTATGGTGTGTGAATTGCATCTCAGTAGAGCACAAAGATAGACTTGGAAAAGGAAAAGCAACAATTGGAGACAGGGGGTGGCCTGAGCTTCCTGTATATATGAGTCTCAGTGGTGACCTGAGGCAGAGACCAATGTCCCCACTTCTCCTAGCTGGCTGGAAGTCCTGCATCTCAGAAGCAGTGCAGGCCAGGCAAAGCACACCCCTGGGAGAGACCCAGACTGCCTCCCCCCAACTTCTCTATGCAAGAAGACCAGCCCTCCCTCCTGCCTTGCAGCCTCTGAGCCGAACCCCAAGGACAGCTTTCTTCTTGGTCGGTGTCACTCCTTTCCCAGCCCAGCCTGCCACCAGCCTTCTCCCTGAAGCATGGAATGTCCAGTCCAGAAAAGGAAATGTAGGTGGGGTGAAGGGACACTAGAGGGGGCTGCGTGCCGTCCCATAAGGAGGAACTGGAATCATACTGTGTGGGATGGGGTAGGCCCAGACTGGTTTATGTGTGACGCCGATGATCAAATGGCATCGTGTGACAAAAAGTAAGCTATAAAGACACACAGCAGTTTACGTATTCCTGTCAGCTAACCATGCCAAACACATAGTAGGTGCTCAGTAAATATCTGCTAAATAAACAAACTAGACTACCTCCCACTGCTCAGTTACCCAAGTTACCTAGTGGCATGGGTTCCTGAACCTTCCATTCATCCCTCTTCCATCCTCCTGCCCTTGGCTCTAATGCTTTGCTGATATCAAGGATACCCATGCTTACATGTTTGGTTTTATTTACTTCCTCCAGGAATTCCTTAACTGGGTAGATAAATCAGGTGCTTCCCTGAGGGTACTATCAGCTGGCACCCACCGCCCCAGAGCTGGACTGTCCGCTGGCTGGAAGATCGTGCATCTGGGCCCTGGACTTGGTCCAAGCTGGGCTCTCAAGGTCTTCACTGCCCCAACACATTGGCCCCAGGGCAGGATGGATACAGTCCTGCAAACGGCTCAACCCACTCCCTGCCTCTCACCCGCATGTCTCTGTCCACACCTGCCGACCCCACTGGGCAGCACCAGCCTCTGTGACATGGTGATGCTGCTTCAGGGACAGGCAAGGGACACTGGGTCCAGAGAGAATGTAGAGAGCCATAAACAACACGCTGAAGTCTGCAGTCTAGCAGAGAGAATGAGCACGCCTGCAGCTGTTGCCCAAGAGAAGCCTCTGGGAGGACTGGCTATGGAAGAGGAAAGCAGGGAGAGGGGAGAACTCTCCTTAGAAACACTTTTAGATTTCTAAATGAAATATTTCAAGCAAAATACTGTAATGCATACTTGTATACTTATCCACATTTCATAAATGAATATATTTGTGTGGAGATTCTGGGAAGGGTTAGGGCAAAGCGGTTAGCCATGCAGGCCTGAGTACAGGTGACAGCATGTGCAAAGGGCCAGCGGCATGCACACTCGGCTGAGAGACAACTTAGGAAGACCTGGGGTTAATCCAGGAGAGAAGTGTCTTAAACCCAGCAAGGGAAAGGTGGGGGGGGGGTGGGGGGGGGGAGAATAGGGTGTGGCATGGGGGGGCAGGGTGGGGAGAAGAGATGGCGAGATCTAGAGAGACGGAGGAAGGTGAGTTGGTGAATGGTTGATGGCGAGTGGTAATGAAAGAGTCACAGCTAGGTTTCTGGCTTGAGA